AGAAGCGTCGATAAGGGGCAATATGGAGGATTCACAATCGCCATGTTGCCGAATGGACGGCGCCGAGGAGCTCCATCTACCACGACGCAACTCCATCATCTGCTAACGATACATGGTAGGTCTAATTGTCAGGTAAATACTATATAACCACCGAGAGTCCTTGTCCCATCCGGCCCTCTCGACATGCGACGAGGTAGCAGAAGCACCGTACGATCTCAGCATGGCTTCATTTCGATCTTCCCTCCAGACCAACACATGCCTGATCGGGACCTTTGTCAGCTTTAATGACCCGTACAGTGCCCAAATTCTGGCTCAGTGCGGCTTCGACTGGCTGATGATCGACATGGAACATTCGCCCCTCTCCGCGCAGGAAATCACAGCCATGGTGCATTCCACCGTTGCGGCTTCGGCTGGAAGTTGCTCGCCAATCGTCCGGATTCCGTCCCATGGCGTCGAATGGATCAAATGGGCGTTGGACAGCGGTGCCAGCGGGATCATTGTTCCAATGGTGAATACCAAACAGGAAGTGGATGGCATCATCAAACGAGCACTGTATCCCCCAGCCGGGCAGCGAAGTTATGGCCCTTTTAGAACACCTTTTGCGGAGATCCCGGCCCCTCTGGACGTGGCCAACTATAAGCGAAAACGCTCACCTGATGTCATGATCTTGCCGATGATAGAATCAAAGGAGGCAGTAGAGAACGCCGAGGATATCATCGGGGCAGACGGCGTAGATGGAATCTTCATCGGGCCTGTTGATTTGAGACACTCGCTGGGTTTCGAGGGTGCTGCTGGAAAGGAACCCGAATACATCGCAGCCTTGCAAAAAGTGCTTCAAGTCGGCAAAAAGCTTGTAAAGCCAATCGGCATTCTCGGCTCACGGGACTCAATTCCACACCTAGTGAATATGGGATTCAGCTTCATCATGTTACCGGGCGGGGATGCAGGTATCCTGGCAGAAGCGGCCTCAGCACTGCTCAAGGCGTCAAAGAAATCCATTAGCTAGAACACAGTCTATGCTGGAGCACCAGTTGCATTGTCGATATTGATAAATTTAATCTTGCGAGCCTTCATTTCCAGGGCCCACCATCTCAACCGCGGTGTGATTCATATACGCAATCTGTTCTTCGTTCCATTGAGCGACCAGCTTAGCGATCTCGTCTCCAGATAAGTCACCATTTGCAATACGCTCTCTCAGCAGTCGAGCACGCTTCTCGAGAACATCGAGGCGATAAGTCGACCACTGCTTGAAAAGTTGGTCCCAACGACTACTTTTCTTGACATTTCCGAGATTGCTCACGTCCTTCAGGCTCGGATCTCGAGGACGGAATGAAGTGACCATGGTGACGCGCTCACCCGTGCCGATGGCTCTCAACGCGATGTGCTCGATACAACCTCCTTGCATCATTACAGCCCAGCCAACCTGCGGGCCTCTGATCTTGGCGATGGAACCGTCCCCTTTTCTAAGGCCAGTTTCACCCCCAATCATGTTGGACGGGTCAGACAGCATGCAAACGCAGACCCAAGGATACGAGTCTGTGTGCCATCGACCGACGGACGCAAGCTCCTCGGACTGGTCGACTGCTGGAGGGGGAGTGGAGAGTGCCTGGTTGGGAGGCATTGCAGGCGGCAGCGCAGCATCTAGCGGCATGCCATCCTCCAAAGCGTCTACTTGGACGTTGATATGGGCGATTTCGTAGTCGAAGACAACATCGAGTTCAACCCCCGCGGCTTCAGAGCAAGCCTTGATGACTTCTTTGCTGCGCCATGCGGCATCGACGAAAGGCGTGTCTTGCGAGTATCCCCTCATCTTGTAGCAATTCTTCTTCGTCCTGTTGCCATGCTTGTTCACGATCTCTTTGCGGAAGAGGTCCGCCCGCATCTGCTTGACACCTTCAAGGGTGAATAAGGGGAACGGCTCAGTGATGGCGACGGGCGAGATTGCATCTTTTTCCGACAACAGCAACTCCTTCAAAGTAATGATGCTCTTTGGAGGCTCGAAGCAAAGGTGCTGGGCAGGATCGAAGCGGATGGGAGCCGGCGGACTGGAAACAAGAGGCTCGACCTTGGCGAAGGCATGGTCGACAGTCGGCAAGGGAAGGACGCTGGTTTCGGCAGCCATAATGGGCAGGCGGATTGATTGACGCTTTGATGCTGTGAATCTTGAGTTTGCTCTAACTTACCTCGATTTTATAAACATGCCGCGGCCGTCGTCTCTCCCGTCAACCCCAGGATGCTGGAACTATGGCCATGGCGACGGGGAGCTTCTCTGCCAGAAGATAGGTCGAGTTTAGCTTTGCAAGCTGCTGGCCGTATGGGGTGTTGGAAGACACGCATGTTCCCTGTGGACGGGCAAGCAGACGGGGAGGTTAAAGACGATCTGACGGCCATCTCCTTATTCAACGGTTCCTGCACTAAGCCCAGTTTGGCTTGTCGAGTCTCACTGCAGCCGCGAGATAAGCTCCTCAAGCTCCTTGGCCGAGTATTCTTGCCCGCGATACTCCCTTCATTAGCCGGCCATTTCCCTATCTTGGGGGGAGGCCAACGTTTCTCCAATGAGCGTATGCAGCCTTGGCCGTCAGCGGGCAACCATGTCTGGCTCCGTTGGTTGCACGCAAAAAGCCCAGACTTATCCACGCTCCCCATGTTTATCATAGGGCAGGATATGGAGCCCTGGCTAGATCCCGCGAGCCTATCAAGCCAGATATGATAGTGCCGAAGGCCAAACATGGGAATAGACCACGACTTTAATACAAAAGAATGGCTCGTTTCCGCCGCAAGGGCATCCGACTTCTTCAAGTTCAGGACTTCGCTTGATTGAAACAGGAGAAACCATGGGTGTAGACAAAGAAACCAACGTTGGGACTGCAAGTCCCGTCTCAGAGGAGGCTCCAGAAGTAGGCTCCATTCGAGAGCTCAAGTCGTTACATATAGACGGTCTCGATCCAGTCTTTGAACATCAAGCTCGACTCGTGAACCATGCAGTCCAGTGCATTGGCATGGGAAAGGTAATGCCAAAAGACACTCCGAGAATGAAGCGAGTTGACAGTGTCAGTACCAATGGGCGCTCTTTGTCCTCTGCGGTTATGGCTGGTTGTGCGATCAAGTAAGTTCTGAAGACACCTACATGGGCATCACAAGCTAATGCTCCCAGCTCTGGCAAACAACCGTTTCAGACGCCCTTGCCCAAGTTGCCGTCGAGTTCACTCCAAAGCACTCGGCATTTTTGTCCCTTGCTCTGATAGCCGGACTGGTTGTCGGGGCGACTTTCTGGGGACTTGGATGTGAGATATGCCAGTCCGAATCCCGTGAATGTACTGACCTGGGCAGGTGACTTGATTGGCAGACGACTAGCATTCAATCTGACCCTGCTGTTTGCTGGAGTATTCGGCACCGCTGCAGGAGCTGCCAATAGCTTCGTCAGCTGTGCTGTTCTCGTCTCGTTTTGCGGGTTTGGTGTGGGGGGAAACTGTGAGTGCACAGAACTGAGTCTGGAGAGCTCCCACTGATTGCAAAGTGCCCGTCGATTCCGCCGTCTTCCTCGAATTCCTTCCGGGCACACACCAGTACCTACTTGAGATCTTGGCCGTCTGGTGGTCCATCGGTCAAGCTATCCCAGCAGGAGCTGCCTGGGGCTTCCTTCCCAACTTCTCGTGCAGCGCCGACACCCCAGTCGGACAATGCCACAAGAAGGACAACATGGGATGGAGGTATCTGATGTACACCATGGGTGGCATCACCTTGGCCGCTTTCTTTGCTCGCTTCGTCTTCTTCCGACTTCGGGAAAGCCCACGGTATCTTATCGGTCAGGGACGATACCAAGAAGCCATCGACGTGCTCAACGACATTGCGAATTACAACGGCACCACGCAACCACTGACGGTGGACGATCTGCTGCAGGTTGAGAGAGACTATGCAAACGCCGGACACCCTGCAGCAATCAAGAGACCAACCGCCTGGCAACGCACCCTGGCCCAATTCCGGCCCGGTGGCTTCAAGCACGTTCGAGCCTTGTTTTCCACCAAGAAGGTCGCCTATAGCACCACGCTGATCATTCTCGTATGGGGAATGATAGGTTTAAGTTCACCTTTATACGCAAACTTCCTCCCAGAATGTGTGTAAAAGGAAGACCTCCCGAAGTTTTTTGGGCAATTTTCTGACAATTGAACAGACCTGGCATTGCACGGAGCGCAGAGCGGCTCGAATAGCATCGGCATCACGTACCGCAACAACTTCATCATCATCGCTTGCTCCATTCCTGGTACGCTAATGGCAGGGTGGTTTATCGGACTGCCATATGTTGGCAGAAGGGGCACGCTCGGGATTGCGTTGATCTTGACATCCGTCTTCGAGTTCGCCTTCACAGCGGCGAGAACGCAAGCATCAATCCTTGCGTTCAACTGCATAACCAGCTTTGTCTCATATATGTAAGCATCTTTGACCCTGCGGCATTTCTATGTGCCTGCTGACTTGCGATTCAGCATGTGGGGAGCCCTGTATTGTTATACCCCGGAAGTCATCCCCAGCGTGCATCGAGGGACGGGGTGCGGTTTGGCGGCAGCATTCAACCGCATCTGTGGTCTTATGGCACCGATAATAGCGACCTATGTCGGCTACACAAACACGCCCATCTTCGTCTCGGCGAGTTTGTACATTGTTGCTGGGTTGATAAGCTTTATCTTCCCGTATGAGACGAGTGGCAAGGCAAGCCTGTGAGTGAATTGCTTGAAGCATGGAGGTTGTCTCTGCTGGACCAATCTAGAGAGCCATAATTGATTGACTGAATTGATCGATTGAGGAGGAAGAGAAGTTCAATCCGTAATAGAAGAGGCTTAAATACTAGCCCTGTGCCGCAATGCCAAGAGGTTCAGGAACTGCCTAATCAGGCTAGTCTAATATTCTGACATCCTTTGCGCGGTCTCATGGCACACAATAGTCGAGAGTTATTATAACCCTGGGGGCTGTCGCTTTCGCATTGAGTCCGCTCTCTCTTTTTAGGGTCAGGAAGGAGGTGTGAACTCCAAATCCTGCATGGACCACGGCCTCAGCTCCGCGAGATCGTCTGGACCCTTTTCGCCTACGGGCTTTGCGAACTCGAACAGGAATTGCAGCATCCATTTATCCATGCGAAAGGACGTCTCCTTGTATTTCTGGCACGCTTTGTGGAACTCGCGGAACCGCGTAAAGCAGACGTCCAAGGTGGGCCAGAACGTCTGCAGGCGCGTTAAGATCTCAAAATTCCTCTCAAGACGGGACCGCGCGGTCCGAATCTGCACCTCGTCGGTGCTGAAGAGCAGGATGTGGAGTTGTACTGTTGACGCAATGACCAGAACATGCCCGACCATTGTGTAGTAGACCTCGCAGCCTGGGGTAGAATATGCGCGGTACAGAATCTCACAGAGGCCAATCGAGTGGCCTTTGCATTTGTCGGCATAGAATCGGGCGTGAATGGCATCGTCATATGAGTCTTCGTGCAAGTATGGGTAGTACAGTAGTTGTCCGTAGTGGTAATAGCCCAAATAGACAGCCACAAACATTGGGCCAAGCCCCATGGTAGCGTACCGTGAGAGGTTTGCGGGTGTGTCTTGCAGCCCGATAGGCAGGTTGTTGTACCAGCCTTCTAATTTGGCTGTGAGTGCATCGACGGCTTCGAGGTGATTGAAGTCGAGTTGCAAATTGGACGCCGCCAGTTCATTGATGGTGCTGATCTCGAACAGAATCGCATTCAACTTTATCATCTGCGTCAGCAACGATGCGCTCGATTCTTGCGGGCTGGTTGGGCTTGAGAAGTCATTGTCGTCGCGGCGGAGTTGGTGAAACACTGTTTCTTCCATGGGATAGGGGATGTCGCCATTGGGCGTCAGCAATCGAGAGACTCGAACCCCTCTAGAGGACCAGACATCAATCATGCAAAGCGTCCACCACGCTCGACGGTTCACTTCCCGCTCGAGCCTAGATGCAACGGCCATATTGGGAAGGTCGACCAACAGCGCAATCCGACAGGCTACACTGTAGAAGACAGCCTCAGCAGCTGCCTCACCTTCAGTGATGACATAGGCGCCCAGAAGAACAGCCGCCTGCAATGTCGTTAAGGAAACCTCACGCAAGTTGAGGAGATGCTCGGCTTCCTGGGCGTACGGCCTGCCCCGGACTCTTGGGTCGATTCCTGCGAAGAAGGAGTCGTCCGAAAACCTTGCAGAGAGGCCGATCATCGCAAACAGAAGGACTCTCGGGATTGTGCCGCTGATGACGTCTTCCATCACGCTGGGTGGATGAAAGAGGGAGTGGAAGGTATCGTGAATGTACCTGAAATACAGTTCAACAAGCTCTATGCACAGCAATTGAGAAGGTAGCTCGGTCGTGATGCTCTGGTATCGAGCCAGACCAGGTCCAGCGGCATCGGGAGTAGTGGTTGGTGACTGGTTAAGCCAATTTCCATCGGGCTGGGGGAAGGCCGCAAAGGAACATGTGAGCTTGCGGTGGCTGCAGTAGGCACATGGGGCACCAGCAGCGGTAATCTCGCACTTGCGGCGACGAGTTCTGCCGAGTGTTTAGACTCTGAGTGTGAAAGTGGTGGAAAGATGGGAAACAGAGACGCCTACCGACACGCAACACAGGCTGTAGGAGGACGCATGGTTGGTCATTCATCGGGAGTTGGAAAGAGCTAGGTAGAGTAGCTAGTTGGGCCAAAGGATGGAATCAGCGCTGACCTAGCACACATGATGAAGGTTTAGAAGAGCTCGAGAAGCCCTACATAGCCGAGTTGGAAAGCATCCAGTAGCAGCGAGTAGCGGCAGCAGAGACGAGGCTGAGAGAAATGCGGGGTTGGAGGCGGGGAAATACGAAATACATACGAGACATTGTAGTCTTCAAGAACTAGTGACAGGTTTGGAGTTAAATTGTCAAGAGTATCCGGGAGGGATGGTGAGACTCGCATTGAAGTTCATATTTTTTTTTTCTACATGGTAACGCCTGTTCCACACCGGGAGGACATCTAGGGCTTGGATCAGTCAGTGTCTCTATTCTCTTTCTTATTGTTGACCCCGACATCTCGCACAAACTCAAAGCTCATCCTTAGTCATAGCATACCTTGGAGAGCCGCCACTCAAATTACGCAACCTGAACATGCGAATACCATGTCGTGGTACATGAGCTCGCAGAGTGTCATGTTTGGGTCCAATGCTGCCCACGCGTTTGCCCAAGAGTCGGGGATCCGCCTTAGCTAGACCTTCCTTGTACGGTGTCCGAGTCGAGTTATACCATGAGCTTTTGTATTGAGGCTTCCCACTCAGAATCTGCTCGGCTGTAGAGTCTTCCATGCGGTTGGCCCACAGGTCGTAAACGTCGAATTCCTCCTTGGTCTGCGGTGCCGAACCTTCGGGTCCTTCGTGCAAGAAGATCTCATTGAGGGTCGTTGTCATTTCAAGATCTTCATCTGCGGCATTGAGGAATATGACGACCTGGTCGTGTAGCCAAAGAGGGCCACTCCAGATTTGAATCTCCCCTTGTCCGTACTTGTCCTTCTTGACCAGTTGGTCACGGAAGATTTGGGCCACCGATCGACCGAGTGGATCTTGGCTGACCGCAATGACGGCTGGGTTATTTAGAATGGTCAACGTCTTTGGGGACAATTCGCGAATGTCCGTGCCGATCAGCAGCGGGGATTTTAGAGCTGCCCACATGGAAAAGTGAGCCTGCAGAATCAGGATTAGCATGCCGCGAGGAGCTCGATGAGAATTAACCATACTTTGTATTCCTCGTCTGTCATTCCACCCTGTCCGACTTCCAACATATCCAAATCGTTCCAGCCGCCAAATTGACCGCGATCGACGTAGGGTGCAACTTTGTTGATGATATTCATGACCGAGCAGTGGGTACCTGGGGCGACACAGTGAGGATCTCGAGGGTCATCACACGCACACAGAGCATCAGGACGATTGAAGTGATCATAGATATCACCTGATACCCGCCAGGAGTTGGCAATGGACATTCCCCAGGTGTGCACGTAGTCCTCTCCCCAAGAGCACAATGAGTATAGTATTGGTCGGCCTGTAGCATTGAGAGCTTTGGCCATCGTGTTGTAACGGTTGAAGGAGATTTCAGGATAGCCAAATCGGCCGCGATGATAACAGTTGTCGTACTTCAGGTAGTCGACATCCCAAGAGGCCCAGATCTCAGCGTCTTTCTCTTCATTGTCAAGAGAACCTTCGTATCTGGCGCAGGTCATTTCACCCGCACTGGAATACATGCCAAACAGAAGACCCATGTCGTGGAGTTCGTTGGCGACCCACTTCATGCCGTTGGGGAATTTTTTTGCATCATGTCGAAGATAGCCAGCTGCATCGCGACCATCCGACCAGCAATCGTCAAGGACAACATACTGATAACCCACGTCCTTCAAGCCGCTATCCAATAGCACCTTGGAAGTATCAATCAACAGCGACTGGGAGACATCACAGCCCAGAGAATTCCAGTTGTTCCACCCCATCTGAGGGGTTCTAGCCAGACCATTGTTGACGGCGTTCACCGAAGTGGCTAAGAGAGTGTGGGCAAGTAGAAGCAACATCATGCGTGGCACTGGAGGAGCGATAAAACAATCAATAGGTGAATGTGGTTGCTCAGGGTGCCAGAACCGACGTCTTATAAAAACCAAAACATCTGTTAGACGGTGTGCAGATCAGTGTAGTGCGTATCCGGTGCCGGCGGACATCTCATCATGACCAGTGTATATACACGGTTTAAGAACAGAACCGAGCCAGAAGCGGGCGAATGAGAAATGGTACGTCGGCATCTTCCCTGCTATAGCGGTGCCAGGGAGTAGAGAGACTTGTAAGGCAGAGCGAGCGTGAAGTGAGAGTGTGGTGTTTGTCATTGTGTTGCACCAGCAGAAACTTCAATTCCGCCGCTAACAAACTTGCCCAGACTTTGGTCCAATCACGTGTCATCAATCCCGCCTCCTTTTCCTCTCGAGCTGCGGATCTTTCTCCCCTGCTTTCCATCGCCAGCTCCATTCTCCGTCTTCTGCCATCACTTCAACCCGCGCGTCCACCTATTTGCCCGAGCTTGGATGCACCTGCTCGTTGGGAACATCTCTTGCGACATCCGACTGGCGCACAAGAGAAGCATTCGACATCTTACTCTGTCCAGCCCATCCAGATCAGTCGCTCAACTCCTGGAAGCACCCAACACACCACTTCTTTCTCCAATGGTGCGTCTATGACCCACATCGACCTGGGGCCTTGAGCCGTGGGATCCGTTCTCCCACCTTTCCTTGTCACTGGGCCAGTACCGTTCCATCCTCACGCACCAATACTCTTCGGCGACGCCGAGGCACACGGCTCCGACCGCTTTGCTCTCAACTCAGCCAGCGAAGGGTACTCATCTTTTACCAGCGGTGAGGATGCTCTGCCGGCTGCAATGGACGGTAAAGACTCCAAGTTGAAGGGTTAATTCTCCAAGGCTATCATGTACCTGACCAAAATATTCAGACAACAATTCCGTGCCCAGCACTCCATCACGGACAAGTTTAGAAGACGACCATTCGGGCGACCGCCCGCTGTTAGCCAACACAGGAGCCGCCGATGACAGTGTCCAAGTACGGGATTTCTTCCATAATGGAAATGCAAGACAGACACAGTTGCGCCATGAGTACGACGGCGACGGAGAGGGCGACGAGAACAGAAGGCTTGAACAAGCTGCCTTGCATCATTCCCATCTTGAGCACAATTTAACCGTACGAGAAGCCATCAAAGCCTACCCCATGGCCGTCTTCTGGTCCTTGGCGGTCAGTACCTGCGTGATCATGGAGGGCTTCGACAGCATTCTGGTTCCCAATTTCTATGCTTATCCTACCTTTCAGCGGAAATGTATGTCTCATTTCTCCGTTTATTTGCTCCTGAGAACTACGCGATGCTGAGGTTCCTTTTGCAGATGGCGAGTTTGTAGGAGTTACTGAGCAGACCAAGTCCGGGTATCAGCTCAGTGCGACTTGGATGGCTGCAGTAGGTCTTGCCCGGAGCCTCTTCCATCAAATGCTTCCTGGGCTAACTACCACCAACGACAGATTGGAACTGCCTCGGGCGTCGGGGCCGTCCTGGGAACAGTCTTGAACGGCTATCTTGTCGACAGACTTGGTCAGAAACGAGTGCTCATCGGCGCCTTGTGCGTTCTCTCCTGTCTCATTTTCATGACTTTCTTCGCCCCAAACATCCAGGTCCTCATGATCGGCCAATTCCTATGCGGCTTCCCTTGGGGGATCTTTGCTACAGTGGCCCCATCCTACTCCAGCGAAGTGCTCCCCATGGCACTCCGAGCGTACCTTTCGAGTTTCACAAATATGAGTTTCATCATCGGACAGATTATATGTGCGATCGTGTTGAGGATATTTCTGGAAAGGGATGATGAATGGGGATTTCGAATCCCCTTTGGTTTCCAATGGATATGGCCCGCTTTCCTCATTCCGCTGTTATCTTTCGCTCCAGAATCACCCTGGTACCTCGTCCGAAAGGGTCGTCTCGACGAGGCCGAGAAATCACTCCGACGCCTTCAATCCCGCACAGCAAAGATTGATGCAAAAGAGACGCTCGCGAACATTATCCACACCAATAACCTGGAACAATCATTACAAATTGGCACATCCTACATCGACTGCTTCCGCGGATTTGAACTCCGACGTACCGAGATCGCGTGCCTGTGTTTCGCAGGTCAAAACTTCTCCGGGCTGTCTTTCGGGTATAATGCAACATATTTCTATGAACAGGTTGGCCTCAGTGCCGAAACAACCTATACACTAAGTCTCTTTGGTACTGGATTGGCGCTGCTCGCGACTCTGGCGAACTGGTTCCTTGTCATGCCCTATTTCGGCCGTCGAAAAATCTATACAACTTCGATGCTGGTCATGGCCCTGATCCTCTATATCATTGGAGTGTTAAACGTCTGGACCTCTCACAACTTCATTGCCTTCACACAGGCCCTGCTGACCCTCCTCTGGACCATAGTCTTCCAACTCTCGGTGGGGCAGTTAGGTTGGTCCCTTCCTGGAGAAGTCTCGTCGACACGCCTTCGAACCAAGACAATCTGTCTCGCGCGCAACGCTTATTATCTTGTCGGGTTTATAGGAGGGGTCGTCCAGCCGTACATGATGAACCCACAGGCGCTGAATTGGAGGGGATATACCGGTCTATTTTGGGGTACGACGGCCACTCTCATGTGGGTGTGGGCGTGGTTCAGGCTGCCAGAAACGAAAGACAGGACGTACGAGGAACTGGACATCTTATTTGCCAAGCGCATCGACGCACCAGAGTTCGAATCGACAAATGTCCACGCCCTGGATGCGAATGAGATGCAGCAGCTTGCGAGGAAAGCGGCGAACGACACAGCATCTGGTGGAGAAAGTCCAGGATGGGATATTATGGATGAACGAGAGCCACTGACGAACACTGACGAGGCTGAAGGAAGCGGCAGTGGTCCCAGTCCTTCTCAAGAGGTAGGAGATGATGAAGAGAGGCTATTGCCGCGGATAAAGCCTGGGCAAGACGTTGGAGGGAAGATATAGCTGGCACGAGAGTTCCACGACATGAATACCATCTATTCGAAGAATCTACTCACCAGGATCTATGTGCGCATTGACGGCGGCAGAAAATGCAGGGAGAGCTCCCCGGCCATTCCCGACCTCCGGCGGAAAACGCAAGTCTGCTGGAGTCGGGCCGAAACAAGACCGGACTAAGTCTTAATCTCTGGGGTTTCAGCGGCCATTCACCACAGTTTCCCCCGCATTCTCTGGGCTCGGTAGACTTATTCCACGCCTTCTACCAGTTCTAGACTGAGTCTGATCGACTCTTGTGGGGGGCTCCGATGATTGATCTGATGCCACGCCTCGTACTAGACTTTCTTCCTCCAAGATGCTAAGAAGCATCAACAAATCACACACGCCCAAACCCGCCATTGTCCGCCGTCACTGTCGGCATTGTGTGGCCTCAATGTTGTTACTTCTCCAGCTCTTGCTGATTGCAACCAGGTAACGCCACGATAGCATACACCATGGCGGGCATAACCACTATTCACGGAAATGGACTTCTTTTAGCGAAATGTGGTGAGGAAGGATTGTTGCGACTGAGTCCAAACAACTATAAGTACCAGCTCTCCACTACGCCCGGTGCTCTTGATCGTTGCAACACACCGAGCCAAAGACCAAGCGCAATCCTACACTAAAGACGTCTTGTGTTCAAAATGTCAGAAAAAGGCCAGGATGTGATCCACTTCGACGAGCCCAACGGCAACTTCGACCGCACATGGAGAGAGGAACAGTGGGGAGACAAGAAGCTGAGTGTTGCGGCTCAAGATGTGGCCAAAGACGAGAAGGACATGACAATCCGCCAGGCCATCAAGGTCTACAAGAAAGCCATCACTTGGAGCTTGGTCATCTCAACCTGTGTCATCATGGAGGTACGTCGCCGCTGACAATTCTGCTTTCCCTGCTGAGTCTGACCGAAATAGGGATACGATACAAATCTTTTGGGCAACTTTTATGCATACCGTGAGTGGAATCTGAAGTCCTTGTTTTATGTTCTCGCCTGATCATCCTCATAGCATCATTCCAGAGAAAGTATGGCGACTGGGTCGGCGTCACGAAACAGACGCCTACTGGTTATTCGCTCACTGCCGGTTGGCAGTCTGGTCTTGGGCAAGGCTCTGGTAGGCTTTCACGACCCGCATAATGTGCACAATGGCCTCATCATTAACAACTGTCGCAGGCTGTGGTTCAATCTTAGGTACGATCATAAACGGGTGGCTGGTCACAGCGTTTGGTCCTCGCAATGTCCTGCTGTGCACCCTCTGTGTCATGACCTGCTTCCTTTTCATCGTCTTCTTCGCACCAAGCAAGGAAGTCCTCCTTGTGGGAGAGATTTTACTCGGGTTCGAATGGGGAATCGTAAGTCATTGCTACACTGTTCATGGGTCATTCAAGCACTAATCCGTACTTCAGTTTGCCACCACAGCACCCGCGTACGCATCGGAGGTTCTCCCGCTCCAGCTCCGCGTCTTCTTCACTTCGTACGTGAACATGTGTTTTATCATCGGCCAGTTCATCTCCGGTGGCGTCCTGCGTGGGCTTGTCAGCAGAAACGACCAGTGGGGATACAGGATCCCCTTTGCAATTCAATGGGTCTGGCCTGCGTTCCTCATCCCTTTGATCTGGTTCGCTCCAGAGTCGCCCTATCATCTTGTTCGCCACAACAGGCTCGAAGAGGCAGAGAGGTCTATCCGCAGACTGCAGGCCGCTGGTCCCGGTTTGGATCCCAAGAGAACTCTGGCAACCATTGTCTACACGAACAACTTGGAGGAGCAACTCGCCGTGGGTACCTCGTATTTCGATTGTTTCCAAGGTTTTGAGAGACGTCGAACAGAGATTGCCTGCGTTGTCTTTGGTGGCCAGCTTGTGTGTGGTCTCTGCTTTGCTTACGCGTCGACATATTGTGAGTTTCTCTCGCCTACGAACAGTGTTTGGCACTAACATCGGAAACCAGTCTTTCAACAAGTGGGCTTGGACACAAAGGCGGCTTATTCTTT